GCACAAGGACTCCACGGCATCCAGCCGCTCGATCTGCACCAGCTTGGTGAGCAGCTCGGGGATGCTGTAGCCCGCCGTGCTGATGCGGTCGAAGAGCTGCAGGCCGTCGGTCATGCCCCCGATCTCATCCCGCTTCAGCCCGAAGCTCTCCGCCAGGTGGCGCCACGTTTTCACCACCGCCTTCTCGGAGTTGTAGGTGGAGCTGAGCATGCGGCTGGTCTTCTCCAGGCAGTCGAAGGGCAGCTCTGTGGGGCTGAGACCTGCGGGGACGAAGGGCCACAGTCAGACGCCGCAAGTGGCGGTCAATGGGCCACACCACTGCAAGTTATGGGGAAACCCTTAAAAAGCCACACTAAAACAGAGATGCAGAAAACTGCTCAAAGTGCACAGCGCGTGGCAAACGACAGCGAGAATGTTGCCAGGCACAAGAGAAAGCCTCCCCAGAAACCCCGGTACCCCAAGCATGAGCGCTCCCGGATGAGGAAAAGAACTGTAGTAACGCTGTGGGAGTAACCCCCCATGCCATTTCTAGCAGTCCCCCAAGAATGAGCAGGTCACCCTAGTTGGGGAACCTTGCCTTACATGGGGCTGGCTGAGGACGGGGTCGAAGGGACAGGGCCACGTCTCTCTGTGGGGAACGTCGTCAGGTTTATGAAGGGTGCTCTCCACAATGGCCCAAGGCTGGGAAGAACTGTAGTAACGCTGTGGGAGTAACCCCCCATGCCATTTCTAGCAGTCCCCCAAGAATGAGCAGGTCACCCTAGTTGGGGAACCTTGCCTTACATGGGGCTGGCTGAGGACGGGGTTGAAGGGACAGGGCCACGTCTCTGTGGGGAACGTCGTCACGTTTATGAAGGGTGCTCTCCACAATGGCCTAAGGCTGGGGTTACCTGAGCCAAGTTACTGCCAAGTCTTAGTCGGAAGGCTCGGGCCCTTGTACTTAAAACTCAGGAGCATTTAAAAAGATGGATGTATTCCTGCTTCGCAGATGGCGCAAACATACTTGTCTTTATTCCTCCCACCAAACACAGCTAAAAACCCTGGCATTTTTTCTTTTTTAATTTAAAGTTGATTTATTTCACAAGTAAGAGTGATAGAGACAGAAATACAATACTTTCAGCAGGGTGCCATGATCCACCCCCAGCCTTCACCAGCCCGGATCAGGGGCACGTGCTTGCCTGGCACACTCTATGAGTTCTCTGGATGCAAAGTGGCAACCTTCCCCGTGGGTTTGCTCACAGATACCACGTTCCACTGCTGCACCATCTGGCCCCTGCCACAGAACTCTCAGAGGACGCCAACTTCAGAATTTTATGAAAAGAAAGTGTCCAGGTTTCAAAAGAAACTTACTCATCATACCGAGATGAGAACCAGGAAGGTCTCGGATGAGTGGGAGAAGGACAAGTCAGTGTGCACCAGTGCGGAGATGACCAAGGTGTTAGATTTCAGGAAGCCACGGTAAAGAGGCATCGACAGCCATTAGTAAAATGCTCGAAACAGGTGATAATTGTTATATTTCATCAAAATATAAAAAGATATAAAAAAGAATGTAATGGAAGTTTTAGAACCAAAAAATGTAATAGCTAAAATACAAAGCTCAGTAAACAGAAAATACTCAGAATGGCCAATAGAGAGAGGATAAACTGAAAAACACCAAGCCTCGGGGTCTGTGAGATTAACAAAACAGCTTACATTTGTGTCACAGAGTTCCAGAAGGAGGGAAGAAAGATGCTAGGGTTAAAAAAGTACTTGAAGAAATAATGACTGACAATTTTCCCAACTTGTGAAGAGACATAAACTTACAGATTCAAGAAGGTGAGCAACTCCCAAACAGAGAAGGCCAGGGAAATAAATGTCAATACACATCATAATGAAACATCTGGAAACTAAAGGTAAAGTCTTGGAAGAAGCCAGAGAAAAACAGCACTTTACCTATAAGGGAAGAGCAATTAGAATGATTTTGGATTTTGGATTTTGAAACCTGGAGACCAGAGAGAATTAGCACAGCATTTTCAAGTACCAAAAGGAAAACACACAAACAAATGAACAAAAAAACCTGTCAATGCAAAACCCTACACCTTATGAAAATATCATTCAGGAATGAAGAGAAAATCAAGCCATGCCAAGATGATTTGTCACCATCAGACCTACCCTGAAAGGCTGCAGACAATCCTCTAAATAGAAATAAAACCACAAAAGGACAAATCTTGGGACGTCAGAAAAGAAGATAGTGAGTGAAAATATGGGCCATTTCAATAGGTTTTATTTCTGCTTTTAAGTTTTCTAAATTACGTTCAGCAGTTCAAGCAACAGATGTGGTTCTAAATATATGCAGAGCAAATATTTAAGGGGAGAGTAAACAGAGACAGTAAGGAGACATGAGTAATGTATCTATACTTCATTCAAATTGGTAAAATGATAGCTTCAGTAGACTGATAAGATCACATCACATGGTTTAATGTAATACCTAGAGGAACTACTAAAATAGTTGTGGAAAAAGATGTAGTCAAAACACAGCACTCAAAAAACATTACAGTGGAATTCTAAATATGCTCAACTCACCCACAGTAGAAAAAGGAAAACAGAAAAACAAAATATAGAAACAGCAGGTAGTAAGCAAAAATAAAACAGTAGACTTAAGCCCTAATATAAGAGTGACTACATTAAATGTAAATGGTTTAAATACAAGCTAAAAGAGTTTAGCAGAGTGGATTAAAAAATTGCTTAGTCACATGTGGTTTATAAGAAACTCACTTCAAGTGCAATGATATAAGCGTTTGAAAGTAAAAGGATGGAAAAGGATATATCATGCAAACATTAATAAAAGAAAAGCAGAGTGGCGCTAACATCAGATAAAGCAGATGTCAAAGCAAAGAAAACGACCCAAGATAGAGACATTCTATAATGATAAAATGTCAATCCACCAAGAAGACTTAACAATCCTAAGTGAAAATGCAGTGAGCAACAGGGCTCCAAAAGGTGTAAAGCAAAAATGGATAGAACTGAAAGGAGTAGGTGATAAGTCCATGGTTATAGTTGGAGACTGAAACACTCCTCCCTCAGGCGTTGATAAACAATTAGAAAGAAATCTTAACAATGTTAGCAACCCAAGGATCTGCGTTACATTTACAGAATACTCCATCCAACAATGACACAATACACATCCTTCGTAAGTGCAGTCCTTACTCCTCAACAGATCGAAAAGAATCGAAATTATACTGTGTATTCCCCTTACTACCCTACCACACTGGAGTCAAAGTAGAAATCAATAACAGGAAATCTTTGCACACTTGAAAACCACACATTTCTCAATAACCCACGGGTCAAAGAGGAAGTCTCAAAGGAATTTTTAAGTTTTCTTTTTTCTTTTTTTTTGCTGCAGGGCATGTGTGCTCACCGGAGAGAGAGACAGTGAGGGGGAAAGTGAGGAATCACCCCTCGCCCCCAGAGATGGCTCCCAGCCTTGGCTGTGCATCAGCCTCCCCAGTGAGGAGGCACCCAGGGTAGCAGAGGGCTTCAAGCTCCTCGCCTTCCCAGGCTCGCTGGAGGGGCTCATCTTATATGTAGAGTTCTTAAACTTAAAAACCACTGTGCAGGGCACAGACTCTCTAAGCCAAGATATTCCTTAGAACAAGGAAGAGCTTCCTGGGGTGAGGGAATGCAAGTCCTGGACCCTCCTTCCCGGGCAGCTGACAGCCCCAGGCATGCCGGCTTGACCAGGCAGGCTGACCGGGCTCAGTTTCTGCAGCAATGCCACATTTTAGTCAGCAGCCAAGTTATTTCTGGCCAGCAAGCCTGCCGGGCTCAGTGCCGCGTGAGGGAAGACCTGGAGGGACGCCAGTGAGACGGAGACTGGGAAAGTCCCCTGACCCCAGTCCCCCATTTTCAAGGTGAATAGGAGGTCATGTAAAGACTGGATTCTGCAGACAGTGGGAGCCCGACTGAGGTTTGGATCCCAGTGCCGACGCTCCTGGGCCCGCTGCCTCTCTCTGTCCAGGCCCACAGCGAGGTCGCCTGGAGGTGGCCTGACTTTGCAGCTGGGCAGGCAGGTTGGGAGAGAGGCCAGACTCTCCTGTCTGTCTTGTGACACTGGGGGACAGGATGGCAGCTGTCCCCAGGTGACAGTACCCTGGTGGAGACGGGGCCAGGTCATCAGGGTAGCCTTGTGGCTCCACCTCCCTGTCCCAACCACGGTCCCTGAGGGGAGCTGTACTCGGGAGACGTGCTAGGGGTGCCGTGAGGTGGCCGGGATCCCACTCCGCTGCCCTCGGTTCTTGCAGCAGGCTGGGCGTCTGATGACAAGCAGCGTAGGGACGTTCCCTCAGGTGCCCTCCCAGCATGTCGGAGCCCGCTGGGGCCAGGAGACTGTGAGCGGCCGTTCGTGCTTACCTTCCACGACTCCACACACGTTGGCGTACACATCCAGGATCTTCTTCCGGCGGCTTTGAACCTAGAGAGAGTTCAGAGGATGTTGACGTTCAGCACGAGGAGAGCTGGGGCAGACCCCGGCCTCCAGCTCAGCACTGCTGGGGTTCGGACCAGAAGTCCAGGAGACCTGCCCTGGCCCTGACTCCTGGGAAGCGTGACTTCTTGGGGACTCTCGTTCAGATGACTGGGTGCCCACCACGGGCTGCTTCCTGGCTCAACTGGGCATGCAGACTCCAGGGACTCCGAGGGCACAGAGCCCCAGTCTGTGGGAGGGCGGCCACGGGAGCCCGTCTGGGTGGTGCGGTGGCCATGCTTCCAGCTGCAGTGGGAGCGGAGCTGCCCCTCTCCAGGGTAGGCCCCATCAGGGACAGCAGGCCCACAGGTGCAGAGCGGCCTGGCTGAAAGGTCCTGGCCCCACTCCTCTCGCAGCAATCCCACAGGCCTCCAGGGGCTCCGTGAGTGGCGACTGTCACAGGGGGCGCCAAACTCCAGGTCGCCCAGGCTCGGTGACCCCCAGGACGGGTCAATCCGGGACCCAGTGGGGCCTTTCCCCACCAGCCACATGTCCCTGCGTAGGGGACTGTGCCTCTGCCACATCCTGCCACAGCACAGCTGGGCACCAGCCTTAGGGGGCAGAGCCCTGGGGACGGTGTACATGTATGTCCACTTTTATATTTTAAAAGCCTAAAATTATTTGGTTAGATATACAAGGAGTATTGAAAACGTTGACAGAAAATGCGTATCATGAACACACTACGCGTGGGTTTCAAAACTGCACCAGAATGAACTGATCCGCTCCATCCACATTCCACAGACTTCCTGAAGCTCCCTAGCACACCAGCCCGCCTACAACGTGGTCAGCCTGCTAGTGCCCCGAGGGGTTTAATTTTTTCTCTGGGCTTGTTAGCTTTCATTTTTGTTTATTTTTTGGAGAGGTTTTTGCTATAGGGCTTGTGCGCTTGCCAGAAAGAGAGAGACAGAGAGACAGAAAGCAAGAAATCACCCCCCAGGGGGGAAGGCCTGTCTTCAATCCCTGCTCCTCCATTCTCCTCTCGGGATCTGGGGCATGCATGCACATGCTTCCTGCGTGAGTTTAAGCCACTGGGTGCGGGACTCGAACTGTGGTTGACTACATGGGAGTCCAGCGACATAGCCATTACACTAACTGCTGGTCCCTCATTTTTGTTTCTAAAGGGACAAAATAGAGGACAGGGAAACCCTCCCGTCGTTTTGCTGACTTGTTCAGCTGTGCTGCCTGGGATGGAGGGGCGGTTGCTGAGGACGGTCTCCACACCCCACCGACTGGGCACGGCGACCATGCACACGGGCTCAGAGCTCACCCCGGCGGACTTGCTGCCGGGGGCCGACTTCTCCCTGGCCAGGTGCACGAGCGACAGCAAGCACAGCTCCGGGGAGCCCTGCTTGTCCGGGGCAGGCTCCTCGTCGCTGTCCACACTCCGGCTCAGTAGCTGCTCATTCTCAGACGAGGCATCGTTCTCACTGCAGGGACAAGAGGGACTTTTGTGAGCGGCACCCGGAAACTACAGCCTTCTGAGACACCTTCCTGCGGGGCGTGACCTCGTCACCCAGGTGTGGGCAGCGGGTGCAGTGGGGCATCAGTGTTTGCTGAACACGTGGAAACGCTGGCATGGGGACACAGGATGGGGAGGCCACACCCCTATTCCCTGCCCCTTAGCCACCAAGGACTCAGCAGGGGCTGGGCCATGTGGGGTTGCAGAGGGGCAGTGGGAACACCAAGGTGAGGGCCGTGGTGGGTGGAGTGTCACCCAGTGTTTGCTGCCATGCCCAGCGCCCCTTCCTCCTGCAGCAGGGTCCCCTTCTGCCTGGCACTGGCGTCCCACCCCAAGGCAAGTGCCCGCCTCAGCTCCGCCTACCTCTTGGTGGTCTTCGCAGGAGCTGCCGCCAGCTTCTCGAATTCATCCTTCTCCGAGAAAATCACCACGCTGTCTGCAGGGGAGCGGAAGGCAGGGCGGGAGGAGTGAGATGGCTCAGGCCCGCGCGGCCCGGCCCCGTCCTCGCCCGCCAGGTCCCCTTGGGCGCAAGTGCCTAGGCGCAGCGCAGGTGCACCCCTGTCTAAGGGGTGCGAGCGCAGGGGCGGGGGCTGGCGCTCCCCTGGCGACAGTGCCGGGTGGGCGGGGCGTGGGCTGCGCACCTGGGGCCTCCTTCTTCTCCTCGTCCTTGCTCGCAGGGGCTTCCACGCTCTTGGCCGGGTGGCTGGTGCAGCAGGCTGGGTGGAGAGGGGAGGGTGAGAGCCAGCCTCTCCGCTGGGCGAGCGTGGGGCGCGGCGGGGGCCTCACCTGGGGCGGAGGGCTTGGTCTTCACGATGTAGAACAGGATGATGAGGACGATGGCGACGGCCATGATGAGGACGGTGGACATGGCGATGATCAGGGCGGTGGCCAGGTGTCCTTGACCGGAGAACGCTGCTGGTGTGGGGGAGGGGCATGAAGGACCCAGGCCAAGCCGAGGCCTCCTCCAGGGCTGGCCTGCCCCTGGGACACTCCCCGGGGCCCTGAATGCTGGCTTGGTCTGAGACCCAGCCCAAGGAGCGAGCTGTGGCTCCCAGACCCTGGGTCCCCGCACCCTCAAGCTGGCTTTCCCAGACTTGGGGAACACTGAGTCCCGGTTTGGGGTCCCGAGGGTGAGGTGGGGAGTGGAGTGGAAGAGATGCCCTAAACCAAGGTCTGGTGCCAAGGTCACTCCTGGGTGCGTCCTCCATCCAAGTGTAACTGGTGGAAGAGATGCCCTAAACCAAGGTCTGGTGTCAAGGTCACTCCTGGGTGCGTTCTCCATCAAAGTGTAACTTTGAGAGTGGTGGGCGGAGTGGCCGGGACCACGCAGTTCCCGCCCTGCCCTGAACGTCGCTTTGGCCATGAGAACAGGACGTTTGTCCCCATCCTCTAACGTAACCAAGTGCTCAGAAGTAGGGTTGTCAGTCACCACCCAGATAGTCAGGTTCCCAGACCACCTGAGGGAGACCTGGAGCGGAGGGCCACCTATGTGGGCATGAACCTTCCTGTCCCCTGGGAATTGCCATGACCCCGGATGCCCAGTGTGGGTGACAGTTTTACTGTCCTCTGTGCCGTGTGTTGCCCCGCCTGGGGACGGAGAGGCACACTCCGCAGAGCTCCCCGCTGTGTGCCGCATGAACGCATGGGAGGCCGGCACGGGGGTGCCCCCGGTGGCACGGAGCCCCAGGCCTAACTGTGCTTACGTGACAGGACCGTGTGCAACAGGAGAGGGAAGGGCGAGCAGCCTGGGGGCTACCCCAGAGAAACATCAGACTTCAGGGGTCTTCTCAGCCCTCCTCAGTCCTTTGCCCCCAGGGGCCAGGGAGAGGGAACCTAGTTACGGAGGTGAGAGCGAGGCTCCCCAGCTCAAGTCTGTCAAAGCACCCCCTGCTCTGGGTGACCTTCACTCCGAGGAGAGAAAATGACAGACTTCCAGCCACGAAGGGGGGGCACACCGAGCAAGTCTGATTCCATCACAGCAGGGTCGAAGGGGGCGGGGGCCATGCTCGCCACTCAGAGACTCCCTCCCTCCCCTCCTGTTCACTGGAGACCCCTCAGCCCCGACGGCAGGCCCGGGGACCCCCTTACCTTTATGGGCGTGCTGGAAAGGAGACAGGGTGCTGCTCCCAGAGGTGCTGGGCAGGTTGGCAGAGACCCCTGAGGTGACGCCCGCGCCTGCAGGGACAGAGTCACAGCACCTCAAAGACCGGAAGAGAGATGGGCAGACAGCAGGTGGGTCTGCAACCCCAGGGAGACGGGCTGGGAGCGGGCGGGAGGGGCATGTTCTTATTCCCTAGGAGTTTAATGACGCCTGGGGTACCTCGGCCTCTCAGGGTTATCGCTCGTTAAATAGAAACACACGTGAAAACCCAGCCAGAGCCGAGCAGCGGGAGGTGGGCTTCTGCGCTTCCCGACTCCGCATCTCTGAGAACCAGACACGGTACGCACAACCCATCGAGGAGGAAGCCGTGGACGGGCGCACTCCTGGGGTGAGGACGCTTGACTAATGGCTTCAATTACGGAGCAGGAGTGTGCTCTAACACTTGTCTGATCGTAGAAATAATGCCTGCCTATTATTAAACAGTGAGCAAAGTAAGCATAAGAGGCGGAAGGCCCACTCAGGCCCTCACTGTGCAGAGTCGACCTTTGGTGTATTCCCTCCCAGGATGGGCTCTTATTGTTTGAGAATTATTTTATTTAATTTTATTCACTATTGTTATCTTTTTAAATTTGACCAAAGAGACAAAGAGAGAGAGAGGGAAAGTGGGAAAGTGAGAGAGTGAGAAAGCAAGACGCCAGGTCCGGGATGTGGGTCCAGAGCCGAAAGCACCATGCCACCTGCCAGCCCTTCAGGGTGGGCCTTGAACATCGCCGTGAGCAAACTGCAAGAGCGAGGCCGGCTTTGCCTCCCCTGGCAGCTGTGATTCACGAACCCCCTTCTGTGAAAAAAGTGTCACTTAGAGAAAACAGAAGCAGATTCGCTGTCAGACCAGTAGACAAGAGCTTGGCCACATCAAAGACACCCTGCCCACACAGGAGGACACCAGCGACCATCCTTGCCATCCCAGATCTGGGTTTTAATTACTGGGACCATCACGTTTGAAGTGTTTCCTTCTCTCCTTGTACTACAGGAAGCAGCTTGTGTCCCTAGCACCCATACCCCTCGGTTCTTTCCGGCTAGGAGTGGCAGGGCTGCAGCCGGGACAGCCCAGGCCAGCATGCAGCCCCGTGAGAAAGCAGCTTCCCCAGTGGGGCCCTTGACGAGACTGTTCTGTGAGGTGGCTTCCAAACCTGCGCACCTGGCTGAGGCAGGCGGGCGAGTGACAGGGCATCATGCTCAGCTCCGAACAGCAGTCCCGACAGGACAGGGCAAAGCAGCTGGCCTCTCTGTGGGGAGGGCCCCAGGGAGCTAAGGCGCACTGTTAGAGGATAACCGTGGACTGCCACGTGGGGTGGTCATCCTTGTCTCTTGTCTCTCTCTGCTGGGGCTTGCAGACTGAGGCAGGTGACAGGTTGGGGATGGGGACACGAATTCATGTCTGTGGTCTAGAGGGCAGTGAGCACCACCTAGCAGGGTGCAGCTGCTGAGAGGCCCACAACCCCTGTGTGTGCAGGCCGTGCCCGTCGGCAACAGCTGTGTGTCCGCAGGTGCCACCTCCGTGACCTGGGTCTCCCCAGACAGAACCCCAGCTGGCAGCTACCCCGCAGTGGACAGTGGACGGTGTCAGCCTGCAGGTGCAGGCTGGGCGCTGTCATTGCCACTGCCCCCTGAGTGGGTCAGAGAAACACGTGCCAGAAGGCAGGTGTGGGACAGGCCACCTGCTTTTCCTCCAGAGCTCGGTGTCCCCTTGTTGGGATTGGGGTGATTACAATGCAGTTCGCCCACAGCGGCAGGAGCCAGGTGCTACCCTGGGCCACTGAGGATCAACTCAGCGAGATCGAACTCCTGATATTCGGCACCCGGGAGGCTCCCTCCCTTCCGCGGCAAGCACGTGTTTCCCTGCCATCTGGCTGCCTCAGGCCGGGTGGTCCAACGAGACCACCCGGGGTTGGTTTCTGCTGGGTGGTCACCTGCTGACCAGGTCCCTCCCACGGCTTCCGCGTGTAGACAGACCGGGGTGCTTGGTACAAGTCGCTGAACTCTAGTCCTGGGGGACAGGTGGCTATTTCCACGTGGGGTCCATCCTGGGATGGGAGAGAGTGGGGAGCGGGTTTCCCGAGCGGCACCAGGGAGGCAGCCGGGCGGGGCCTGCAGTCCTCGGGAGGGCTGGCGGGCTGTGAGCGCGGGTCGCTCCATTCCGAGCGACGGGGAAGCCACGGGGCCTTCGCGGGCCTGTGCCGGGGACAGAGGGTGGGCAGTGGGCTGTGCAGGCCTCCTGTGTTCGCGGAGCCGCTTCCTGCGAGGGCGCGGGCGGCGGCGTTGGCTGCGCGCCCCCTGGTGGTGGATCCGGAAACAACCGGCAGAGTCGCCGGAAACTGGCGGGAGAG